CAAACCCCTCTCTAGGGTTACTTCCCTACTTTGTCATTTACTGCCACAGTACATTCATTACTTACCTTAAAATATTTGTAGTCTTAATGTAGGGTGAGAGGTCAGTAGCATTTATTTGTAGGAAGTCAGTGTAGGCAGCGGTAGATGTAGGTGCACATATATGTAGGCTCCCCCGGGCTACACTACACACCCATATTATTACATCAAAAAACCATGTTCAGAGTTTAATCATTTCTAACAACTACCTTTAGATGCCATCATAAATAAAGGGAGAACATAAGAACATAAGAAAGAAGGAACACTGCAGCAGGCCTACTGACCCATGCGGAGCAGGTTCACGTTCCCCCCCCCCCCCGGATTAGCCCAATGACCCACCCAGTCTGATCATCTCCACTCAAGGATGGAGCACTGCACCAGACCCGGCAGCACAAGCTAGTCAAGTCCAACTCACACCCACCCACACCCACTCATGTATTTATCTAACCTATTTTTAAAACTACACAACGTTTTAGCCTAAATAACTGTACTCGGGAGTTTGTTCCACTCATCCACGACTCTATTACCAAACCAGTGCTTTCCTATATCCTTTCTGAATCTGAATTTTTCCAACTTGAAACCATTGCTGTGAGTCCTGTCTTGGCTGGAAATTTTCAGCACGCTATTTACATCCCCTTTATTTATTCCTGTTTTCCATTTATACACCTCGATCATATCCCCCCTAATTCTACGCCTTTCGAGAGAGTGCAGATTCAGGGCCCTCAGTCTATCCTCATAGGGAAGATTTCTGATACATGGGATCATCTTTGTCATCCTCCTCTGTACGTTTTCCAGAGCATTTATATCCATTCTATAATACGGTGACCAGAACTGAGCAGCATAATCTAAATGAGGCCTAACCAAGGATATATAGAGTTGAAGAACAACCTGAGGACTTCTATTATTTATACTTCTAGATATGAAGCCAAGAATTCTGTTAGCTTTACTGGGAACACTAATGCACTGAAGTAATGAATAATTCATGCCGAGAATTGTAAACAAACGAGTATGAAGGGCGGTGACTGGGCCAAACGCCAGATTCACAGTTTTCTCTAATGCTGAACCAGAGAAAACGTAATTTTACCCTCCACCCTCCTCCTCCTCGATTTGCCGGTACTCACCACTCAATAGCATATAAACATTTTATGTTTATATGCTATACAACTTGTTTCTTATACAATTTTGAAGAAACATCATAGACAGATTAATGAAAATTATATTAACCTAAAATAAGGCATTTAATGTGCCCAAGAGTGATTATTATTAAAGATACATCATATATAACATTGCATGTTTTTATATATACTACTACTATGTAACGTGTTCCTTGTATAATTTTGGAGAAAATATCATAGATGGATTAATGAAAATGTCTATACAGTGGACCCCCGGTTAACGATATTTTTTTCACTCCATAAGTATGTTCAGGTGCCAGTACTGACCGAATTTATTCCCATAAGGAATATTGTGAAGTAGATTAGTCCATTTCAGACCCCCAAACATACACGTACAAACGCACTTACATAAATACACTTACATAATTGGTCGCATTTGGAGGTAATCGTTATGCGGGGGTCCACTGTATTAACCTAAAGTAAGACATTTAATGTGCCCAAGAGTGATTTTATTATTATGTGCCCAATACGGCCGATTCTCGAGTTGACAGCCGAAGTCCAGGATAGAATTTTGGCCAAAAAAAAAAAAGCGGCCAAATCTGATTTGAGAGATATCAGGAACGCCCGATATCTGAAGGTCCACTGTATAGAGTAGGGCCCCACTTACACGGCAGGTTAGGTTCCAGGCTACCACTGGAAAGCGGACATCGCTTGAAAGCAGAACAGCATTTTTTCCACTTATAAATGCATATAAATGGCAGATAACAAGTTTACACTAAGATATATTAAGTTAGCAATAGAACTAGACATCAAAAACAATAAAAAGTAAAATATACACAGTGCACTCATTACTTACCTTAAAATATTTGTAGTCTTAATGTAGGGCAAAAGGTGAGTAGTAGCCATTGTAAGAAGTCAGGTATGGTAGGTATGGTAGCCAGCCAGGCCACACCACCCACACGTAATATACTACGATATTTAACCCCTTCAGGGTCCAAGGCCAAAATCTGAAGTGGTGCCCAGTGTCCAAGAATGTTCAAAAAAAATATTTGTTGTTTTTTCTTATGAAATGGTAGAGAATCTTTTTGTGAAGGTAATAAAACAAAAAGTACAAAAATTGACGAAATTATGCTCTCATGAATTTTGATGTGTCAAGTGATATTTACGAATCGGTGATTTTGCCAACTTTGACTCCCATTTTAGGCCAATTACATTATTCCAGTCGACCAAATTCTTAGCTATTTCACTAGTATTACTTCTATTCTATCGATTGAGCACAAGAAATCACCAAGTCAACTGTTTCAATTACAAAATAAAGTGATTGGAAATTGGTAATATGGCCAATTTAACACAAAGTTCAAAATATTCCAATTTCAAAATAGGGTCCAGAATAAACAATGTATGTATTCCTGGCACTAACCTAACATTTCCTCCATTCATTAGTTATCTTTTGAGGCTTTACAAATAAATTCCATTTTGATTTTTTATTCACATAATGAATTTTTATTCACACCAAAAAATAAAAGATTTACTGTTATGCAATATTGTAATAACTGTATAAATATCATTACCACATTTGTGAATGTATATTAGACCCACCAGCTGGTGTGTATTAGACATGTGAGGTCGTTTGTTTACTCTTGAACATCGGCAAAAATTTAACATTCCCGCTATTTTGAGCTCAGTTTCAAGCCATTTCCAGTGCTAAAACCAATAAAAATCATCTCTAATTCTGTAATACGTCTTCCATTCTATCAAATGAGACCAAGAAATCACAAATACAACTATAAAAAACATACGAAAAAACACTGCAAAGTCGCTGTTTTAATCGAAAATCATGGTCTCAGTTTCTTTTTCTCTCATTATACACAGTGTGCTGCAGGATTTGTTTTATGTGGTGCACACATACCACATAGATGTATTCTCTCATATCTAGGCCCAAATGTACCACTCACAGTTTATCAGAGTGAGCTGAGCTCATGGCGTAGATCTACGGTTTGGACCCTGAACGTAAAGCCGTAGATCTACGGGACGGACCCTGAACGTAAAGCTGGTAGATCTACGGGATGGACCCTGAAAGGGTTAAAGCAGCCTAAAGCGATAAAATGCACATACAGTACTCATTACTTATCTTAAAATATCTGTAGTCTCAATGTAGGGTGAGAGGGGAGTAAACGAGGTAAAACGAATAAATGAGAGAGAGAGAGAATGAGTAAATGAGAGAGGAGAGAGATGCGGAGTTATGTAAGCAAGCAGACGAACATGTCTGGTTTTGGTTCATACACGTAACATCTCATATTAATTTATTCTATTGTGGAGGTGTATTTATCATGTGTATATGTTATGTAGCCTGTTTATTACATAACCTTGAGAAAAATATCATTGATGGATTAAAGAAAATGTTTATATTATAAATGTTTATATTATTATTATTGCGTATTACAGTTTCTCCTTACTTAGTGACGTACTCGTTTACCAACGCCTTGGACTTACGACAGGCTCTCTCACTGGCATTCATACCTAAATAATGTATAATAGAGCTGATTTCCTCTATTCTGTTTATTTCAATATACAGTACATTACTGCATAAACATTTAAAAATATACTAGAAATGTTATAAATGGAGCAAAGGTGACATTAAAACAACATCAAAGATGGTTGACAAACTCACTACCATTACATGTATGGTATACTCCTCACTTAGCGACGAATTCGTTTAACAAGGTGTTAGGAATGGAACTCCGTTGTTAAGTGAGGAGAGGCTGTATTATTATTATCACTATGAATATGGCATCCTCAAGACTAGTAAGACACTCTCAGTGATTTTAATGTGTACGTGCATGCCAGCACAGTGTGTAAGTTTATTTAGGTACAGGTACACGTAAGTATAATTATCTAAGTACTTACTATATATAAAATATGAAATAACTTTAAAACACTTGAAATTTTGGAAAGTTTTCAGACATAATGGAGACATGGTGCTCACGGAGAATGTAAACAAACCAGGTGGGGCACGGTGACCATACTAGAAATCAGGTGGGGCAGAGCCGTATAGCAAATTTTGGTCATAATTTGAAATATCTGTATTAGCGGAACACTGTAAGGGACAATGCCGTAAAGCAGGGTCCTACTGTACTCATATTGTTATCGAATTATTAATCTTAAGTTAGTTTTAAATTTGCCAAAAATGCTCTGCATATATGGGGACTCTCTGCATGTACACCCAAATGTCATTCACCTTTGTACATTGTATCATGCTGAAATAAAGTATTACGTGCGTGAGCGTGTTAGATAGGAGTGAATGGAGACGAATGGTATTTGGGACCTGAAAATCCGTTGGAGTGTGAGCAGGGTAATATTTAGTGAAGGGATTCAGGGAAACCGGTTATTTTTATATAGCCGGATTTGAGTCCTGGAAATGGGAAGTACAATGCCTGCACTCTAAAGGAGGGGTTCGGGATATTAACAGTTTGGAGGGATATGTTGTGTATCTTTATAGGTATATGCTTCTACGCTGTTGTGTTCTGAGCACCTCTGCAAAAACAGTGATTATGTGTGAGTGAGGTGAAAGTGTTGAATGATGATGAAATTTTTTTCTTTTTGGGGATTTTCTTTCTTTTTTGGGTCACCCCCTGCCTCGGTGGGAGACAGCCGACTTGTAAAAAAAAAAAAAAAAAAAAAGATATACGAGTACGATATATTCTTATTTCAGTCAATCAGGTGCTTTCCAATGTCTACCAGATTTACAGGGCTCACAGAGAACATACCTCAAAATTTTGATTCTGAAGGAATAACACACGACTGGGTATAGGGGAAAGGGTGCAGGTGCCATATACAGGAAAGTCTGACCTGTGGGTATGTTGGTCATCAGCAAGACCTTTGTAATGTTTTGTGCAAGAGGTCTTCCGGAGGACCTATCATAGCAAAGGCACCACTGGCAATGTGATATCTTCCACACCACATTGAAAGTTTTTGGAAATGTTAATGTGTTTATCCTTCACACATGACCATCCTTGATCACACTGAAGTACACAGGATAAAAAATATGTTACAGGACTGCTGTTACCCAATCAAAACTCTGTACAATGTCAGCAAAATTCACTCTCCACACTGAGACTCCTTCATTGCATTCCTTAACTGCACAGCTTGTTCCTGTGGTATTCCATTTTCTGCCATGATGCACATAACAATCATCTGGACAAATTTTTTTTAATGAAAAGTCCTGCTGATGAGTGTCCAGCTGTTGTTGTAGAGAACTGTGGTCGCGTACTTCTGTTTTTGAGTATTTGTATAGCTGTTTGTCCCAGGCCATTGCTTCTTGTGTGATAGAGGCCACTGAAAATGTGTTTAATATTATTATAAATGCAGAAGTCCAGAATTCTTGACTAAAATATGTTATGCCACTTTGGGATAACAACACATAAGGCATTATACCATGTGGTAAATGCATGATATAAGTTCATTACTGCTGGTACTATTAGTTGACAAAAATGTGAATCAAAGCACTTGCTGTGATCTTTAACAACTGTTACAATCATTGTACTTTCATACTGACTTGCAAAATTAATGTATATTTTGTATCAAGAGTTCCCTGGTGAATTGCAGTGCTGTAAGATGTGCTTGGTGATACTTGGCTGACAAAATGACTTGACCAAATACTCTTAGGTTCAATGTAGTGTCTTGGTGAGGCCAACACACACAGCTATGTACAAGTGCCTTTCTCTGAACAATGCCTTCATCGAAAGGTGCACACTTGTATCAAATATTCTAAGTACAGTAGTATCTGAGTTTATTTTCATTAAATTAGCAAAATAGAAATTTTCACTTTGTACAAAACTGGGCTTCCTGCTCTCAAACAGCTACCATTTGTATAAATATTGAGAAAGACAAAACCGGGTTTCTTGCTGTCAAATAGCTACCATTTGTATAAATATTGAGAAAGAGAAAACTATTTCTTCTAGTATAACAGCACAGGACAGTGCCAATACAACTGGTAGCCAACTAAATTTCTTTTGACTTGGTTCTTCATTAATAGTTTATACTATGGATGGTACTGGCAAGTTGTCTATCTGAGCACCCAAAATTTGGATATAAACAATGATCACTCAGTCTCATTAATCTCTGAAAGTAAGTCAAATTATGTCATGTTAGTTGCCTGCTTGGTAAATACTGCTATGGAGGCAAAATACTATCATCACATGTTTTTCCTTTTCAATTAATTTGTCTCTTATTTTAGGAGAAAGAAGCACAAGTAAAGGACATTAAAACTTCAAGCAAATTATACCTGTTAATGTACAGTGGAACCTCGGCACTTGAACTTACAGTGGACCCCTGGATATCAGTCGTTGGATTTCGTAATATTCGGTAATTTTAACTTTTTTTCATCAAAATATTGGCTCAGTGACTGTCATTTAGCTCGGTAATAGTCATTTGTCCCGAACGTGTCTGAGTGGCCCGACACACCATTTACAGTTAGTGTGCCATTGTTTATCAGCCAATGAGCACGATTCTACATGTTCATACGATACATTTCATAATATCCCATTCGTTCTAGTGCTTGCAACTGCTAAATAAGCCACCATGGGCCAAAAGAAAGCGCCTAGTGCCAGCCCTTTGGTAAAGGCGGTGATAAACGTGATAGAATTCAAGAAAGAACACACCAGCCAGGGTACTTCCCCACACACATGATTTGATTTGCACATGAGTGAATAGAATTATCGAAGGTTATTGCTTGGGAAGCACTGAAAATTGGGTTGGGCAAATAAACTGATAGAGGGATGGTTTGTGAAGGACCTTCCTAGTATGGGCCAACAGGTCTGCTGCAGTGTTCCTGCTTTCTTATGTACATCAGCCAGGGTACTTCCCCACACACACACACACCAGCCAGGGCACTTCCCCACACACCAGCCAGTGTACTTCCCCACACACACAATTTGATTTGAGTGGGACTTATGCATGAGTGAATAGAATTACCGAAGCTTATTGCTTGGAAAACATTGAAAACTGGGTTGGGCAAACACAATTCTGTTAGTGGGATGGTTTGTGAAGGACCTGTCTAGTATGGGCCAACAGGCCTGCTACAGTGTTCCTGCTTTATGTTCTTATGTACACCAGCTGAAGAAATTGCTTCAGAGGAGAAAGAGAGAGGGAAGAAGGTGCCTACTTCAAAGATTAAGGACATTTGTGCAAAGTGGAGTGAGGTGCAAACATTTGTGGAAGAACACCACCCTAACCCTCTCACCTCCTCTCATCTTCCATACACCAACAAGAGTCTTCAATAAAGGTGTGATATTATTGTTTTATACTCGATTTCTCATTCTTTTCTGTATGTAAATCTATATTTTATCTATAAAAAAATAATTTTTGCCAATACTTTTGGGTGTCTGGAATGAATTAACTGGATTTACATTATTTCTTAAGGGGAAAATGAATTTGGATATCGTCAAATTCAGCTTTAGTCACACTCTCTGGAATGGATTAATTACGATAACCAGGGGTCTACTGTAATTGGTTCCAGAAGGCTGTTTGCTTTCTGATCTGTTCAAGTACAGAACGAATTTTTCCCAACCAATTTTCTTTTTGGTTGGCTGTTATCACTAATCCTCTTGGGCCCCATGGTGGTTGGTGCAATTATTTAATAAATGTATGGAAGAGGGTAAGGTACCTAGGGATTGGCAGAGAGCATGCATGGTTCCTTTGTATAAAGGCAAAGGGGATAAAAGAGAGTGCAAAAATTATAGGGGGATAAGTCTGCTGAGCATACCTGGTAAAGTGTATGGTAGAGTTATTATTGAAAGAATTAAGAGTAAGACGGAGAATAGGATAGCAGATGAACAAGGAGGCTTTAGGAAAGGTAGGGGGTGTGTGGACCAGGTGTTTACAGTGAAACATATAAGTGAACAGTATTTAGATAAGGCTAAAGAGGTTTTTGTGGCATTTATGGATTTGGAAAAGGCGTATGACAGGGTGAATAGGGAGGCAATGTGGCAGATGTTTGCAGGTGTATGGTGTAGAGGTAGGTTACTGAAAGCAGTGAAGAGTTTTTTACAAGGATATTGAGGCTCAAGTTAGAGTATGTAGGAAAGAGGGAAATTATTTCCCAGTAAAAGTAGGCCTTAGACAGGAGTGTGATGTCACCGTGGTTGTTTTAATATATTTATAGATGGGGTTCTAAGAGAAGTAAATGCGAGGGTCTTGGCAAGAGGCGTTGGAGTTAAAAGATAAAGAATCACACAAAGTGGGAGTTGTCACAGTTGCTCTTTGCTGATGACACTGTGCTCTTGGAGATTCTGAAGAGAAGTTTTCAGAGATTGGTGGATGAATTTGGTAGGGTATGCAAAAGAAGAAAATTGAAAGTGAATACAGGAAAGTGTAAGGTTATGAGGATAACAAAAAGATCAGGTGATGAAAGATTGGATATCAGATTGGAGGGAGAGAGTATGGAGGAGGTGATTATTATTATAATAAAAAAAGAAGCGCTAAGCCACAAGGGCTATACAGCGCTGCAGGGTAGGGAAGGAAGCGAGGGTATTGGGTGGCAGAAGGGAGGAGGGATGATCAGTAGGTTACAGAAAACAGCGGGGCAGGGGATAGTACGGGGGTAGAGGGCAGCAAGAGATTGAGGTAGAAAGGGCTGAAGGTATCAGAATTTGTGAAGTCAGTCAGTTGTTGTCAAAAAGTCAATGAGAGAGTCCGGGTGAAAGGTGGGTCCATCAGCGAGAAGGGAAGGTAAAGAGAGAGCAGTGGAGCGAAGACGACGACGGAGGTAAATTCTGCGTGCTCGTTGATAAAGTGGGCAGTCCAACAGAATGTGGCTGACTGATAATGGAGCTTGGCAATTCTCACAGAGAGGAGCAGGGCGCCTCTCCATGAGATATCCATGAGTAAGACGAGTATGGCCAATGTGAAGACGGGAGAGAGTAGTCTCCCAACCTCGACACTGGTATAACAAGACGGCCAGTAACCTATACTTGGTTTAATAGATTGAAGATTGTTGCCGAGCATAGTAGACCAACGGTGTTGCCAATGGGTGTGAAGGTGTGAAGATATTGCAGCAAAATAGTCCGTAAATGGAATACCTCTATAAGAAACTGGTAGGTCATGTACTGCTGACAGCGCAGCAGTGTCTGCCTGTTCATTGCCCTGTACATCAACATGACCAGGGACCCAACAAAAAACAATATCTTTATGCTTGGTAAAGATGCGGCGTAGCCAAAGTTGGATACGGAGGACTATGGGGTGAGGTGTATCAAATTTCTGTATAGCCTGTAAAGCACTAAGGGAGTCTGAGACAACCACAAATGATGACAGGCATAGATGCAATACGAATAAGTGCTGCAAGGATGGCATACAATTCAGCAGTAAAAATACTAGCCGAAGATAGTAAATGCCCTCGTACGACGCTGTCCGGAAACACTGCTGCGAATCCTATGCCGCCAGAAGACTTAGAGCCATCTGTGTACACAGCAATGGCATGAGAATGAGAGTGAAAGTGGTCAAGAAAAAGAGCGGGAAGCGACCGTAGACAGTTGGGCTTTCGAGCAAGGGAGAAAGAAAGAACAGACTCGAACAGCTGGAACTTCCCAGGGGGGTAGGGAAAAGTGAGATGCTACATGAACATAGAAAGGTGGTAATTGAAGAGAAGACAAGAGCGAATGAAAGCGAAGAGAGAAGGGATGGGAGTAAACAGGGGCGCGAACAATAAAGAATGTCTACTAATATCAGTGACCATTCTATAAATGAAAGGATTGCGGAGATCATGAGAGCGTACATAGTAGCGAAGGCAATGGGCATCATGGCGATCGGATAAGGATGGAGCGTTCGCTTCTGCATAGAGGCTCTCGACAGGGAAGAGCGAAAAGCACCAAGGCATAAACGCAATCCTTGGTGATGAATGGGTTAGGGCTAGAGAGAGTAGCAGGAGATGCCGCTGAATAGATCTGGTCACCATAATCAAGTTTCGAAAAAAAAAGGGTGGAATGAAGGCAAAGGAGGGTTTTCGACGATCAGCTCCCCCCATAAAAGATGAGAAAAGGGTTTTAAAAAGGGTTAAAGCCGGTTTGTGCCCGGGGTTGGGCCTTCAAGAGGTAATGTGGGGGTTTCCAGGTTTAACCTACGATCAAAGGGGAGGCCCAAAAACTTGACATAAAGGGTTCAGGGATACGGGAGCCTAAGGAAAACAAAGGATGATCGGGGGACGACAAGCGCTATGAAAGTTTTTTTGGTGGGTTTTTAGTGCGGGAAAAATTTTAAAAACCCATGTGTGGGGGCCCAAAAGGGGAAAACACTTTCAAACTGAAATGCTGGAGAGAAACTGTAATGAGGTACAGTCAGTG